AGTATTTTTCTTTCCCAATAATATCTTTTGTAGATAAAGTATTTGAAATGAATTTTAAGTATGTTATTCAGACAGCAAATGTCTAGAGTAACCTCAAATATCTTTCAAAAATTCACTTCCGGTCGCGTGTTTTTCTGTCCTAAAAATGAGAAGTTGTCTGAGCAAGATCTCGGAAACGGTAAGAGATTAAGACACCAGACTTATATGAGCAACAGACCTTAAGATGTAGCCAAAACCACTTGGGTTCAGAACGTCAGTCGTCACTTCCGGTCGTCACAAGAAGTGACCAAAGAAATCGAAAATTTCAACTTTTCTTTTTCTATTTAAAAATTGCATTACTTTATTGCATTTCTTTCGCAGATTCGAAAGATGTTGGTCCCACCGGAAACAAAAACGACAACTTCCGGTTATAAGAGAAAAACTACCTAATTTGAGTATTTTTCTTTCCTATAAATATTCTTTATAGATAATGTATTTGAAATGAATTTTAAATATGTTATTCAGACTACAAAGGTCTAGAGTAACCTCAAATATCTTTCAAAAATTCACTTCCGGTCACGTGTTTTTCTGTCCTCAAAATGAAAAATTGACTGAGCGAGATCTCAAAAACAGGTAAAAGATTAAAACACCAAATTTTTATGAGTAGCAGACCTTGAGGAGTAGGCAAAATCATTTTGGTTAAACGCGTCCGTCGTAACTTCCGGTCGTCACAGGAAGTGATCAAAGAAATTAAAAATTTTAACTTTTCTTTTTTAAATTAAAGTTTGCATCACTTTATTGCATCTCTTTCGCTGTTTTGAAATATGTTAGATTCCACCGGAAACAAAAACGTCATCTTCCGGTTTTAGGTGATAAACTACGTTATTTCAACATATGTAACTTTCTCATAAATATTGCTTATCGATAAAGTACTTGAAATGTTTTTATGCATTTTGTAGATACTGCAAATGTGTAGAGAAATGTCAGAGATTTTTTTTTATATAAAATTCACTTCCGGTCGCGTGTTTACCTGTCCTCAGAATTAGAATTTGTTTTCACAATATTGCTCGGCAACAGTAAACGACTGAAGTCTAAAACTTTCAGAACTGATAATCAGTCGTCAGTTTATTTGAATCGTGAGGAAATCTTGTATCGCCGTTACTTCCGGTCGTGACAAGAAGTGATGCAAAAAAGTGAATGGTTAATGGTTAGCACGTTGGATTTTCATGCTTACAACCAGGGTTGAATCTCCAGAGTGTCTGAATTTCTTTTATCACCTTTTCAGCTTGAATTTACATTTTTATTTTCAAAATCGGACGGAAGACCTCTCATTGCTCGCAATGAGTTTCTAGTTTATTATTATTATTCTGGATTATTTGGAGGGGTGTTATTTCTGTATGTAATTTTAGTAACACGATTTAGTAATCAAATGATATACTGTAGTATATTTTATTCTGAGAGTCTTCTGTTAAATAGAACCTGGATAGTGGATAAGTCATATAATGACATATGAATCATCCAACAAAGTCAGGAATATAAATACATTTCAGAGGGGATACGGGTAGGCGGACCAATATAGTAAAAGCGTGAGGGGGTGGTTTGGGGGCGGGGCTCTGTCGTATTTGATATCAGTATTTGCATAGACTTAACAACCACACGTAACCAACAGTAAATTTAGGTCATCCCCTCAATGACCTTTTAAAAATGGGTTATCATCATGGCTATTAATTTTGTTATCCAGCACGCCAACTGTAGACATTTTTTTTTACGTTTTCATCATATGTTTCATAATAACAAACATAGCCTAAAATCAATTATAAATAAACGATCTTCTGAATACGTATAGGATATATTGTTTGAATTGACATTACAATACATTATAATAAAAAAAAAATCTAAGAATTAAGAGAAAATGACAAAATGTAATTTCATTTACAGATTCAGAAACAAAACTGCGCATACTATAGATTACATTGCACATAAGAAGAACCTTAATTTAGGGTCACAGTGCACAGTGTTGATACTGCTTAAAGATTAAAATTACTTTTTGAAATAAGAAAAACCGACTTTGAAATTCAAATTCAATGCCCAAGTAACTAAAAACTCTTTCTATAAGTATACAAGGTTTTAAAAATTAAAATTATGAGGTTTATGTTTAGAGTCAGTGCTGTGCGTTCAGTTCTGAACATTTTCCAAATCAGATACTATGAATAGATAATTATTTCAGTGAAATAAATCTATATTGGCCATTAGGTTTCTTGTTTCACGTAAGTCCTGGTCAGCGACAATTCGATAACACATTTATCTAGCACTTCGGTTTTGCGACCTAAAACCAGTTTTCAATTTGCAGATCATTACAATTAAATGGGTTTTTTTGTATGTCTGCTGAGATACAAATAATGAAAATATTGTTACATTAAAAGTTTAAAATTTATCAATTTAAACTTATGTCACAGAAGTTACATTTTAATTTGTACATAAAATTGGCGCGCATTGCCAATCGAACGCGTTTGTTGCGTTTGTTTGTGTCGTGTGTCTAGTGTGAATGTATTGGGAGATCATGTGACATTGTTTATTTTTGTATTTCCACGTGTTTCCGGTTAGGTGACCTAATGTGACTTTACAGCTGACAAATAACCGACTGTTTTTATCTTGTTAATATGCATGTTTTAATTTCTGCACCTCGTATATAAGCACAGTACCCGCCAATTATTATATTTTCAATGTTTATATCTATTCGGTATATTCGAACCATCATGCTCTTGGAAATTATTGTAATTGACTGGTATCTTTTAATTAAGATCTAATATCTTTTGGAAAAATATTCATTTTTAGGAGATGTTTTATAATTGCTATTGTGTGGCAAGGGTGAAAATACGGCTATTTTATAAAACTAATACATTTTGTTTGGATATGATATTTAATTTCATTTTCCCCCCTCAGATAGAGATAGTAAAGTGACACAAATTAGAGCTGTTCCTGTGGTAGAGGGTTCCAGACCGATTTAGAGGGGAAGATAACCTAAGAAACTTATTGTACTGGACAGGCTGTAGATGGTTGATTGTTGCTTTTCGTCCCTTCGAGAATTTTTCTGTATCGTCAAAGTCCTATATGGGAATATTAGGGGAAAACCCTTTTTAAATCCTTTTTTAAGAAAAGCAGCGGGGATTAAATTTTTTTCAAATATTGATCCTGAGGCTAGAAGGCCACAATTTGTGAAGAGGACACAAATGCTCAATATACTTTAATTAAAATTATTTAAATCAAGGCCAGGACTTTCAATTGTTGATCTTAATAAAGATTTTCATTCTTTTGAAAGAATTTCATTTTTTTTTGTCGGGAAGAGAATGGAGACTCAGGTGAGCGTTGTTGCACATTGGCCACTTGTTTAATTTAACTGCCTAGTTCATACTATCTGGTGCAATAAGCCTAGCTTGTATCAATACTTGTATAAATGTTGACTGGTCAAACCTTGAGCCCTCTGTACTTGTATCAATGTTGACTGCTCAAACCCACCGTGAGCCCTCTGTACTTGTATCAATGTTGACTGCTCAAACCCGCCCTGAGCCCTCTGTACTTGTATCAATGTTGACTGCTCAAACCCGTCCTGAGCCCTCTGTACTTGTATCAATGATGACTGCTCAAACCCGCCCTGAGCCCTCTGTACTTGTATCAATGCTGACTGTTCAAACCCGCCCTGTGCCCTCTGTACTTGTATCAATGTTGACTGCTCAAACCCGCCCTGAGCCCTCTGTACTTGTATCAATGTTGACTGCTCAAACCCACTGTGAACCCTCCGTATCAGTAAACGGAGTAATCCGGTAAAATTAGTGTAAAAACATAGCCTAACAATTGGTATGAAACATGTCAGTAAAATACGACCCATCTTAAGGTTGTATTTGTACACAAAATCATACCGTAGAATTTGCATAATGGTGACATTGAACAAGATTGTAGAAAGTCCTGTAAAATCATTTTATTTGTCAATAGCCTGCTTCAGTCTAAAAATTGACAAACTAGTAGTTTGTTAGTTGTCCATAAACGTCTATAGTCAGAAGTTCAGAAGATAACAGCAGTCTGTTTTCATATGAATAGAAAGAAACAATATTTAGTGAATGTAAATATTGTGTTGTATTTGCACTCAGACACTTATGGGTTTGAGAGTACAGTATATGAATTGGATATTTTTCAGAGACGATTTACAGTATAAATAGCACTCTGCATTTAATCTAGTTCATTTTTTTCATATTCAGGATACAATACACGTGGATACATATGCATGTGTAATACTTAGTGAATAAAAATCCTATACAATTATGACATGACAGTAAAGATGAGATTTATTCACACAATTGGAAGAAATTATCATATTCCTCCTATCAAGACATACATTTTTAAAATGTATCTTCATATATTTTCATTACTCTTAAGCAATTATGTATATTATTATACCTCAATTTAAGTATCCCATGTAAGCTGAATCTCATTATATAGTTCGGGGGGGGGGGGGGGGAGAGAGAGAGAGAGAAAAGGGTTACTAGTATGCAGACATCTTTTTAAAATAAAAAAAAAACCTTTTTTTCAGTCATGATTTATTTTTATTTCAATTCTACCCAATATTATATTGTTTCCACTTTTAATGTTATGTACAAAAAATAAAAAACAAAACAAACAAATTTAAAAAAAATGACAAAGATGAATTTAAGCAGTACTCTCAGCTAAATTTTTTTTTTAATTTGCCTTCTTTTTCTGTAGGAATTTATTAAGCATAATCGGTATATTTCTATATGGCACAAGAGGAAAAGTACATGAAAAAAAAAATATACAAAAAATGCTTGGAAACACACACACCCTCACACACACAATCATAAAACGCTACTTTAACGCACTAGTATAACTGTGACTGTTCCTGTTAATGGAGCATAAATAACATAGCATAAACAATGTTATGTACTTATACAAGAAAAAATTATACAAAACGCTCATGAATGTGAATTGTCGATCTACAAGTAAATCTTTAATATGAAGTCATTCATTCGAGAATGTCAGTTGGAAGGCTTTTCGTCTTTTTAGTCTTTCAAAGTAGGAGAGAATCGATGGGTGGTTTTTTAGCAGCTCTCCATTTTGCATTACACTTGCCCACCAAATGTTGTACCCAAGTACGCAATCTGCTGCCGTGAATCTAAAATTAAAATTTCGTTTTTTTAAAATTTAATTGCACATAGAAAAAAGTGTAATACTCTACACAGCAATTGAATTACACTGTACGTAGAATAAATGTAAGACTACATGAAGCAATATTAGCATAGACTTCTTACTTATCTCCGCATATGTATTTTCTGTTGTGTAGTAATTTTTCTATGTGAGTGGCAGAAGAGTCAAACTTGGACATCATATTTTGAATTAAGACATTGTCCCTTTTTTCCGGCTCTACAAACATCCATTGCACAAATAGATGTTCCAGTATTTCATCGATGGTGGCACAACAGTAAAAAATTATGCTGAAACAAAAATTCAAAAACAATTATTTGGTGTTTTTTTTCTTCTTTTTGATACATTTCTTCCAAAAACTTCGTGAAAAAAACTAATTCAGTAGCTATCATGATATCTACATGAAGTTGAATTGCGTCAAGTAAGGACACGTGGGTAATTATTAAGGTATACTGTCAGTTCTTAAAATTCTTCTTGAAACAAGATGTGTTTGTGAAACACTGATGCCCCTGATGGCAACTTATAGCAAAGGTTAAACTATCTCAAAAACAAATCAAATATGTTGGTACCCAAAGTAAGGTCTTGTCTCGAGGAATATACCTGTGAAATATGAAGGCCCTAGCAGCAACCATTCAATAAATATGGAAAAAGTTAAAAATTTCAAAAGTAAGTCAAACATCAAGGTCAAGCTCAAATGGTGAAAATTAATGGTGCCCAGGGAAAGGCTATCTCACAAGAAATACACATGTGAAATATGAAAGTCGTAGCACCAATTGTTCAAAAGTTATGGCTAAGGTTAAAGTTTTCCAAAAATAGGTCAAACTCCAAGGTCAAAGGGTCAAAGTTGTTGGTATCCAAAGGAAAGTCTTGTCACAAGGATTACATATGTGAAGTACGAAAGCCCTAGCTCCAATCATTCAAAAGTTATGGCCAAGGTTAAAGTTTTTCAAAAGTAGGTCAAATTCCTAGATCAAGGTCAAAGGGTCAAAGTTGTTGGTAGCTAAAGAAAGGTCTTGTCACAAGGATTATATATGTGAAGTATAAAAGCCCTAGCTCCAACCGTTCAAAAGTTATGGCCAAGGTTAAAGTTTTTCAAAAGTAGGTCAAACTCCTAGGTCAAAGTCAAAGGGTCGAAGTTGTTGGTGTCCAAAAAAGGTCTTGTCATAGAAATTACACATGTGAAGTATGAAAGTCCTAGCACCAATTGTTCAAAAGTTATGGCCAAGGTTAAAGCTTGGTAAAATTTTGCAAAAACTGGGTCAAACTCCAAGGTCAAAGGTCTAATATGATGGTACACAAAGAAAGGTCTTGTCACACGGAATACACATGTGAAATATGAAGCCATAGTTCCAACCAATCAAAAGTTATGGGCAATGTTAAAGTTTTTGCGGACAAACAGACAGACAGACCGACAGGGCAAAAACTATATACCCCAGAATCTTCAAGACGAGGGCATAAAAAAAGATCAAAGTCTATCCACAATGATCCGTAAGATTTCTTAATTAATGAAGGGTCAAACTTCATTAATTCCTAAATTTAGAAGCGAATGTTTAGTCACAGCATCGTGAATATATTTTAATTGCAGTCTACATTGTCAGGTTAAATCACGCCACTTACTTAAGGTAGTCCATTTTTCTGTCTTTCTCTGGTTGGAGTTTTTGGTAGAGATCTGCCAGATACATACAGATGGCTCCTGATTCTATCAAGGGTTCTTTTCCCTCTATCTCAAGTGCTGGCACTGTGCCAAGATGATGAATATTGCTTCGATAATGGTCAATATTGGATTTGTCCGTATCTCTTGAATTATATAACTGAAACTGAACATCGTCTGTGGCTCCCAGTTCTACAAGATTATTTCATGATTTTAGTTTTTGGAATTCGGAGTACTTGTGCAATTGACAATGGTTATCCTAAATATTTCTTATAAATAAAAAAAAATATATTAATTAAAAAAAACACACCCCTTCACAAAATAAAAAGAAATCAAAGCCAAAACGCACACACCCACTCTTTACCCCCCCCTCCCCCCCACAACAAAAACAAAACAATATATAAACACTGTTGTTCGAGTATTTGAAAAGTCATAAAAAATCTAAACCTGAAATTTAAAAGTAATATTTTTTTGGATATGATATGCTAATGTGTGAAAACTTTCAATATATTGTTCTTTTGTTTTGTATATTGTTTATTGTCACTCAAAAATTCACAAAGTCTTACTACATGACCTGATATCATCTTAGTGGGGGTCAATAGTTTCTATTAAGGATGAGGGCAGACTGTCTATATTTTCTTGTGTTATCATCCAAGAGGAATTTGGGTTACGGTTGACCAAGTCACTTGTACTTGACAAAGCAGAAATGAGATCCTTCAAGACTGGAATATTATCTGTTTTATCCAAGTCAATTAATAAAAAATTATAGATAACGCTGATAATTGACACTGATAAAAATGTTATACTTGTAAACAAAATAAGATTAAACATTTGAAATGTTAATTAATAGTAATACTGGGATTTTTTTTTCTTTTTTAATTTCTTTCTTTTTTTTAAATTTAATTTTATTTAATTTTACCTTGTTTTATTTCTAAATTTTGTTTTATTTTATTTTTAATTTGTTTTTCCCCCCTTTTTCCTAACGTTTGTATTTTAATATTTGTTTGTTTTTTTCTTCTTGTTTCTTGTTATTTTAGATTTTTGGAGGGGGTGTAATTTCTGTATGTAATTCTATTAACACAATTCAATAATCAGATAATATACTAGTATTTTTTTTTATATTGACTGTTAAACAGAATCTAGATAAGTCATGCCAAGCCGCGAAAACCGTGCAAACTTGTGAAGGTTTTACCGTGCTTATATATAATGACATATGAATCAACCTATTAAAATAAATTTCAAAGGGGATACAGGTAGGCGGACCAAAATAGTAAACAAGGGGGAGGGCTCTGCCGTATTTGACATCAGTATAAGCATAGACCTTATAACCATATAGCAACCGACAGCAAATAATTCAATCTCATATGAGGTCTTTTAGGTCATCGATTCAGTGACCTTTTAAAAATGGGTTATCATCTTGGTTATTTCACCTTTGATATTCAGCACGCCAACTGTAGACTTTTTGTACGTTTTCATTATCCACAGTGATCATCTGTTTTAAAATAATAGATATGACCTAAAAATCAATTATATAAAATAAAAATCGTTTGAATACGTTTAGAATGTACTGTTAGAATTTGACAAAGGATATATAACCTTTACATATGTACAAAAAAAAATATGCTTTCAGTAAAGAAAAATGACGAAATGTAATTTGATTAACAGATTCAGAAACAGAACTGCACATACTATAAATTACATTGCACAAAATGGAAGAACCTTAATTTAGAGTCACTATACACAGCCTTGATTATGCTAAAAGATTAATTACTTTTTAAAATAAAACAAAATCGTTTTAAAATTAGAAAAAAAAGGTTTTCCTCTATCCTTTTCAAATTCGCGGGGTTTCTCATTTTTTTCCCGATTACTCGTTGCTAATGTTACTTTCGGCATTGTCTTAATTTCTTGGCTTAATGTCAGAAATTTAAAAAAGAAACAGCTAAAATAATATTGTATATAGTTCTACAGTGAAAAACGATGCCAATGGCGTGGACACGCAGGCAGCAGTGTGAAAAGAAAAGAAAAAAAAAGACTAATATTTATCATTCATTTCTTTAATTTTTTTTCCAAAATGAGATTTGAGATCTTTGAAAAATTGGTGAAATTAAAAGTTTAAAAAAATCCTTAAATATTTCAATTCATAAAAATAATTAAGTCTTACCATGAACAAGCCATATGCATCGGTTGGAGCGAAAGTTTGGGAAATAATAAAGTCGCATTTTATAGTTGTCCTTATTAGTTTCCATGCTCGCTCTCTACAAATTGCTCTATCGTGCATGTTATCAACCCAGGAAGCGCTTTATATACGTACATCCACTGTCCTAAGAGAGGTCGTGTTTGCAAATCACATTTGAGATATAAAGCTTCAAGCAGCGTCACGGTCAATCATACATCAACACATGACCTTGATAGCATAATAGGGAATCAATATGATGACATTATTAACCAATCCGTAAATAAATTTTACATTTATAAATTGTGCATTTTTCCTTTAACTTTTGTTTCTTTGTGCTTTTTGAAGATTTTTTTTCTTGCTTTGTTTGTTACTGTTTCGTTTTGTTTCTTTAAAACAAGTGGCCCATGGACCACTACGCTCACTTCTGTTAAACAGATTTCTTCCTTTTTACAAGTCATTTTTTCCTCCCTATTCTGAAAATTTTGACCCCGTATTGTGAACTCTCGATCCCTAGCCCCACAAGAATCCTGGCAAAATCAAACTTTAATCCACACATCACAGGGATGCTTCAAAATTATATCAATATGACTAACATGACCTTGCTATTCTGGAGAAGTTTTTTTTCCTAGTGAACGTGCATTTTGTAAAATCGGATTCCCGATGCCCTGATTCTAGTCGTACCCTAACCCCAAGGTTAATACTTTGAAAAAAAAGAAAAACAATCAAAATAGCTGAACGCAATTTTGCATATTATTAATTTTATATGTTTTACCAGACATCATATATTAATCCTCTATTGTATCCTCACCCTCCTCCCTCCGGGGAGGGGGGTATACCATCTTAAATTTGCACCACCTTGATGCTTGCGTGTAATTATGACTAGTCACTAATCATAGCCCTGTTGTTCTTAAAAAAGATTTTCAAAGATTTTTCCTGTATCTTTCCTATCTACAATGTTAAATTTTGATTCCTTATTGTGTGGCCCCACCCTACCCCAGGGGTCAAATTTGAATCTGCACTACCAGAAGACGTTTGCATGTTAATATTAATAATCATGGCCCTGTTGCTGTTGTTGAGAATATTTTTAAAGATCTTCCCAAGTATATTCCCATGTAAACTCTATTACTTATTGTCACCCGTACATGTATCCCTGGATTTGAACAAACATGAATTTGCACCACCTGAAGATGTTTGCATTTTAATAAGACTAACTGTTGTTTTTCTGTTTTGAAAATAAGATTTTTTAAAATTCCTTAATCCATGCCCTTTGGGGGGGGGGGGGGGTGTCATGATTTGACCAAATTTTACTATGCAAAATCTATGAATGTTTGTATATTATGGCCCTGCTGTTCCGAAGAAGATTTCAAAATATTTTTTTTAAATATATCCCGTTGTGAAACTTTGTGCCACTTATGTGGCTTCAACCTATCCCAAGGTCACTTGAATTGAATTGACTTCAATCTGCAATACCTGAGGACGTTTGCTTGTTAATATGACTAATCATGGTCCTTTTGTTCTCAGGAGGAAGGTTTTTTTTAAAATTCTATATACATGTACAGTGTATATTATTTTCTTTCTATTATATTGCGTCTGATAGGTATTCTCGGCCAAAAAAAAAATCAAAAGCCTGAAAGGCTTCAATGACGTCGAAGAAGAAAAACAATTTCAAAAGATCATTTTGAATTTGAAGATAGCAATAAGTCAAGTGAGTGACTCAGGAGAAATAATAAAAAAAAATAGTTTTAAACAAAATATCACAATTACAGTCTGGGGCCTTATGTCATGGTCCGAATGGAGCAGGGTTCGAATTGACCAGACACCGTCGAACATGTTTCATGCTAAATTCTTTTCAGTCAGTTGAAGAACTATGAAGGATTTCATAATTTTATATAATATTTTTTCTAATTGCCAATGTCAAAGCGTTGTATTAGTGATTGCATCTAAACTATACAACCAAGACTGTTCTGTTACAATTACGATCGAGTTACGATCGGGCGTGGTATACGGTATACTGGGAAATGGAGGAAATAGAGAAATACAGTAATACTGGTCAACATCATCGGTTTTTAGGATAAAGTTGGTCAGAAGATTGTAAAAGTAAAGCTAAGATTTACAAATTCAATCTTTTCAGTCTTATAGTATTCGTGTTTATGTAATTTTGTAAATTATTTAACCGCCTGTTGGGTTGTTTGTGTTCCACGGTTATCGTTCCAAAATGTTATTCATGTCATTCGACGCACCTTTCTGTAGAAATTCATCCGCAACAACCATCACGTTTATATTGTGTGAAAATAAAACATAATATCGTTGTTTTGTAAAAGAATTAATTGTAGATACAATTGATGCAATTTCATTTTCAAGCTATAATTATTCATTGTGAGCATTTTAAAAGAAATTGGTTTATAGCTATTGCTATTTTCTATTGCGGATGCATCCACTGACACATTCGGTCGCGTACATCCCTTGGCGATTTCACTTGGCCGATCGCTAGATGACGTTCGAGCTCCAAGAGTTCGACGTCATAAAAAAAAGTCATCTCTCGAGGGTCCGAAGGAATGGGATACGATACATGTTGTATTTCTTCCCGAATAGGATTAATCGACGTTTTATTATCCCTTTCTCGTGAGCGCTTAGGCCAATCAGATGACGCCTTTTAAAGATAATAGTGTGACATAATATTTTCTTTCCTTATCAAAGAGTGTCCGGCACCATTCTGTCTTAATATTGTACACTGTAAACTTTTCACATTATCAACTTCTTTTCTAGAACCGCTTGGCCAAATTCAACCAAACTTGTCACACAGCATCCTTAGGTGAAGGGGATACAAAAGTTGTTCAAACTAGAGCAGAGCTCGTTGCAAAGCAACGAGTAGGTCTTCCGTTGGAGCTGCGAACAGGAAGAAGTGACCTTGAGTCAAGGTCATGCCACATTCTAAGGTTATAAGGAATCTTGTAAGGGGTATCAGCTTGCAATGTCTCACCAGTAGAAAGACAGTTAAGGAATGTTGTTTCTCCGATGATGACATTGAACTCGTTCAAATGACCTTGCATCAAACCATGACACACTCTGGTTATAAGCAAACCCCATCTACGAGGGGTTATCAAAAAGTTCGTGGACTAGCGCCATAAAATTAAAACCGCTTTAGGTACATCAATGAATTTTAATACATTTAGTTAGCATCATCTTTTCTATCGATAGATTAAACCATAAATCATAAGTTTTATTTTTTTAATAAATTGTTATTGTTTTTGTAAGCAATGGTATGTCCAAGCGGCGCAACCTCAAATATGACGTTTTTTCTACCTGAGTGTAACTGAGAAAAACTCTTTTGATATGAGTATTTGTCGTCAAAAACTCCGGTTAATCCAGGCATGTGGTACAACACAATTGTTCCGTAAAAGAGCAAGAGCCACGAACCATCAAAAATGGCCCTGTCTCAAAAATTAACAGGTTGTTGTCAATTGATAGTGAAGACTTTTAGCTTTTCTTTGCCGTTTTTCTTTTTTCGATATCGATTATATTTTTTGAAAAAGAGAATCTGAAGTATGATAGTGTTTTAAAGGAAAAATGTTAGTAGAACGTCATTTTCTGTAACGTAACGTCGTAGCGCGAAAAAAATACTTTGATCGATTTTACATGTATGAATATGTGACTTTGAATTAAAAACTAGTACTAATATTATTATATTAAACATCATAATTAATTTAACACTTTTTAAAGGATTTGGAACTTGATTTTACATTGCCGTCTTTACATGTATGGCAACCTAGTATTTACATGTAACTGATCGGATTTTATAGATACATGTAGTAAAAAACTAGAGGTACTGGAGTACTGGGCTCACAAAATGATACCCTGTCTCGCATACGTTTATAATGGCAAAGTCCATGTTTTGCTATGGGAGACCCGAAGTATGTGTCTGATCAAAAAGTTAAACAGGAGGCGCACAATGGCACTTGCAACAAAGATTCGTTAAAGTATCATTAAATCTTATCCAGTCGTATAAGAGGAGTTGCAGATTAGAGATGTGTACCCTAAAGCGTATATATACCCCCCCCCCACTTTTCAGGCGGGGGAGGGGGGGTATAATAATCTGTGTGACTGTCTTGGTATTTTTTTTTCTACCTGGTTCCTATGTGATATAATACTAAAGAGGAACATTCTATTTATATCCCTTCAACACATTTTTGAGCGATGCTTCTCTCCTAGTTACCGGTAAGTATTGATCATCATAAACAATATACGACAAGCTTCAAATGCTGATAGTCTGTCCGACTTTGGTTTCCGGATTTTTCTTTACAGGCCTGCAGGTATAAAGCTGATCTTTGGCATGTGCGTCCAGGCACGTAGTATCGTTTTTCAAAGTTGGGAAGGGGGCAGTCAGGAAAAAGTAATTGACAAGATAACTGAAATGATCTTGAAACGAATGTTTCTGAACTAAAGAGCTCATTATATTTATAACTGGATAGAAGTTAAGTTGCAAAAAGTTTTATTTAAATTGAAATAGACTTTCAATGCGAAATCCTTAGATCCTGAAATTGCGAGTTTTTAACATATACCTGTAAAAGATCTAAATTATTTGGAAAAGAGGAGGAAGAAAAAAGTTGGACGGACTACTAGTAATCGATTCATGCATTTGTAACAATAATTTGAACGTCGTTTTCGATACAGAAACAGGGAAAATTTTAGATTAATTGGAAAGGGATTTCGCAATTTATCAGAATGGTTTAATTAGTAAATAGAACTCAAAACATTATAGCCCTAAATAGAGTTTCTTTGGAGTAATATGGAATACATGTACGTTTCAAAAAATATTCTTAAGAAAAATAAATTTGTTAAAAAATCACTTGTCACTGTCCATTATTATATATTTAACGGTCTTTGCTACACACACCCTTTCTCCTGCAAAGTATTCGAATATTTTTCTCCCAAATATCCTATCTGCGAGGATTTGTAAAAGTAGAAGTTTGCAAAAATTCTATGATTATTTTCCATGTAAATGTACAAAAAGATTAAGCATCAGCAATTTTTCGTTATTATCATACGTAACCATAATGTAAAATCCACACTTTCGATTTCATTTACACATTATGGTTTTTGTTTATAAAAAGAGTAGAGCTGCATTGATATTGCTGATATGTGGGTCACTATCTATACTACTATATTAAAATAATAGACTCGAATTTTTGGCCTTTAATACCGATAAATCGGAAGAGTACCGTCTTTTATTTGATATATTTTAAACATCATTGGTACTTGAAGATTACCAATTTGTTTTTATTTTTTCTCAATTAAGCTTCGCTAATTAATAATCAACGAAAATTCCTCAAAAAAATCCGGAAATCATCTGGATTTCTTGGATTTTACAATCTTGCGCGTGCGCATTACATTCACGCTAAATCACGGTGTTCAAATCAATCTCCCTTGCATAGTTGTCGTTCGTTTCTCTCTTATACACGAATGTATGAGCCGTTGGTCGAGAGTGTGTTCAAATCAGAGAAGACAAAAGTATATACTAAGTAGATATATATTTGTTATTGTATAATTTCTCTAATAAGAAATCATTAATGTATATGAACAGAATATATAGCAAATTTCCAATGAAAATTTACGCGTATTTGTCATAGGCGTCGGAACCGGGGGGGGGGGGGGGCTAGGGGGGCTTAGCCCCCCTCCCCCACTTTTTTTTTTTTGCAAAGATAGGCTTAATATAGGCATTGAAAACTGGGGCTTACCTTTTTTCGTTGCTTTAGCTCCCCCCCCCCCACTATCAAATAGCCACCCCACTTTCAATTTGCTTCTGACGTCTATATGTTTGTATTATCGTAATCGTTTCTGAGTTTATATCCATACAAATGTGATATTGTGGCCACGTGGGTAATCATTCGCCATCTCGGAGACACATTTATTATATGTTATTTATATCTCTGGCCATCTCAACGGAGGCAAAAAGCTCATGATCGTAGGAGCAACATTAATGTAACTACCCGATTTATTTTATCCCTCCTTTCTTTTATGCTTTTTTGAGGGGAACTGAAGGGGGAGGGTGTGTTACAACTCCAGTTAGAATCACATCTTAGTGAAGTAGGCATTCTTTTTCCGCCAAAAATTACAATAACTACTATATAAAAATTATAGACTCGAATTTTGGGCCTTTAATACCGATAAATCGGAAGAATACTGTCTTTTGTTTTATGTATTTTAAACATCATTGGTACTTGAAGATTACCAATTTGTTTTTATTTTTTCTCAATTAAGCTTCTATTTTTATTACTTTTTCTATGTACTAATTCAAAGATATTACATTAATTTTTATCAAAACAGACAGTCTTTTACAGATTATATAACCTGTCTATTACCTTTGTATATATAAAGTATATGTATTAGCAGTGCTTAACTCTTTTATTGTTGAGGTCATATTTTGAAAAAGTTGAGACCTGCAGTGTTAAAATTGTTACAAATTTTTTTTACACCTTTTCTTTAATAACTGATTGTGTAAAAATACCAGCTTAGCACAATTCTTCATTTTCATTACTTTGCTTGATATGTATCAGCAGTGTGCTCAACTCTTTGCTGTTGTCATATTTTCAATAAACATCGATCCATAATTTCTTTTATTAAATTTGGAAAGGTGAAATTTATGTAAGCTCCGGCGTGATTCGAACTCAAGACTTGATTTATAGCTAACTGGTGGTCAAACCATTCTGCACTACGCCGTTACGCAACAATTAAAAAAAAAACAAAAACAAAACAAAACAAACACAAAAAAAAAACCAGAATTATATTAACATTCATTGTTTATTTCAAAAATACCTTACAATATGAATGTGTCGATGTATCTATTTTGTAAATGTCCGATATGCACATGGATGCATTCATAACAATGTCAACCCGTGCACGCACGGGTCAAAATCTAGTCATAAGTGAAAAACATGTACAGGTGTTTATTTGTCCTACAATCAGCGCAAGATTGATTTTACTCAAGAAAAGCTTGCTTAAAAAAGGTTTTACTCAGAGAAGCAATAAGATTTGCCCTTATATATATATTTTTTTCAGTTTTCTTTATGAATTTTTTTCTTTTTCGTGAAAAGTGGCGCCGCCACACCAGGTACCCCCCCCACCCCCTTGAGGAAAAAATATGAGAAGTAGGAAAGTCTTAAACAATTTTCAATTTCTAGATTGAATTCTATTAATTAACAATAAAGAAAGTTAAATTCAAGACTACTTTTGAGAATAAACTGAAGATAACTACATTAGATGCAAGTTTTGCT